CGACGGCACGACGCAAGGGAACCGTCGTGCCGTCGCGTCGTCTGGTTGCGTCGCCTGGAGGGAGGCTAAAGAGAGAGAGAAATGTTTGTCGTAAATAATACACCATAAATTTGCCAGGGGACAAGTGCTGTGATGCACAGCTTGGTATATATGTAGCCTTGTTTTTAGTCTTATATCCTATGATTTTTATCTCGTTCATGTGTTTTATAAGTTTTTACGTATTTTGATTCAACTGTATGGATTACTCTTTCTATTCCTTCGACATAATAAAAGAAATGAAATGAAAGATCATACAGCGCGGCAATAGGATCTCAGGTTACGTTCAATCATCCCTCACGTATAAGAAAGGAGTCTCATACCGCACGAGGGAGCTGTTGGATATGAAACCAGACTTGCATCAGTCCTTCAAGATTATATTTTCAGCAGTTTTGACAGAAATCATCATCGTCTAACAACTTCTTGTCTGTCTCTTTGTATGCACATAGGTCCAGAACATTCAAATAGATTGTTTAAAACCTGTGAAAAAGCTTAGAAAAGAACCTTATTCCTTGTCCTGAAATCGATCTCTCGCTGCGTACCAGCCTGTCGAAGAGCGCCCTCAGTCGGCATACACACAGTATTCAAACACTTCAAACACCACAGGTTGTTTTGGAAGGGAAAGCATGTAGGAGTCAGTAGGACCAAACTCAAAACCGGATAGGTGCTACGAAATTCCAAGGGACGTGGAACTATGGTCTAATGAGTTTGCTGTAGTTTGAATGAGCACGGAGGTGTTTCAAAATTTCCGTCAGCCTAGATAAACTACCTCAAAAGTCACCGATCGTCCTGGAACAGAGGGCGTAAAGAAAGTGGTGGATGACACATAACCGCTAAAAACGCCAAAAAGGAAGACGAAATTCAGTCTTAAAAACGTTTAGAGGTGTGGATGGACCTGAGAATGTTCCAGAGCCGTTATTCGTTTGACCGTCGCGTAGTTCGTCGAACCTCCTCAAACTCAGTGCAACAGGTCAATTTGGAAAGGTGGTCTAGGGGAAATGAGATCGGTTTAAAAATAACAGATATGAACAGCCGTAGTATAGTAGGAATAAATAGGTGCTGAATAATGATAATATGACGGGTTTTAAGATAACTTTCCCCAGCCTTTTCGTGTGACAATATGCTGTACAACCTACGTATAAGACCACCCCAAACGCCACAGGTCGATGTGAATCAAAGGGTATACATTAACTCCAAGGTTATTATTTTGTCCGGGAACAAGGTCTATGCATGTTGAATGCTTGCAGGAATGAAAAAAAGAAGACATTTCTTGTCTACAGAATATTCCCCCACCATCACGAACATGCACAAACTCCGTACTGTGCTTCCCTGCTGCACTGAGCAGGAGAACACCTCAAACGTTATAGGTCAAATCGGAAATAGGAGATTCAGAGGTTGAAAAATTGCCGGGAAAAATGACAAATTTAAATTTTTGAAGTTGTTTACTTTTCCACTGAGAAGCCTGACATTGCTTGACTTGTTTTCCGATTCCATGGACATTACTCATGACAGCCCTTCATGCAGTGGAAAATGGTCGATGAAACCACCTCCAACAACACTTGCTGATCGGGGATTTTATGGAGAGAAATATTTGCATCTTGCTTTTCCTCTCCAATACACATCGAATGTGTGAGACCACCACAACACGCGATGAAGACCGACTTTATTTCTAAGTATTTTCACTGCGCACGTTATTCTTCAACCTCGTTTCCATGGGCAAGATCTTGCCGTGCCATGTTGGTTCCCACCATGCCTTGCTCGATCTAACCCCTGTTATTGTATAATTTAAATATCCCATCATGATTAGCTTCCCTGAATGTACCAGTGTTACACGCAAGGGAAGCCTCGAAATGAGGCTAATCGAATGCTGCCGTATATTCGCCAAGGCATTCTGGGAGAAAGATCAAATCCTCGCCACGTTCGTTCCATCGTGACGTCATTACACTCGGGCATCCTCCAGAGACCCACTCGCCATGCGGGGTAGTGGTGGCTGACACCAGGGCAGGAACGAAGATTACGTGATGGCTAAACGAACGCTCTCGTGTAAGTTTGGTTTACACGTAGGTGTAAGCTAAAGGAACGCACTCCATTTGGGATATTCAAATTAGGACTTAAGTCAGTGTGCTTGATTACGCGTGATGGATGCAGAGTACGCCCGCGTAACGTGCAGGTTGCATTACAACAAATACGCGTCCATAGAAAACAACTAATGATGCAAAATCGGACCGAAATAGCGCCGCCTGTTTACTCTCGTGAAAAGGTTGGCCTCCTTTTTTAACTGGAAATTGAAATTATGGCCAGAAGATAACATTTCGTTTCAATTTTATGGGGGTTTGCCACGAAAATCCTTTTTTATTCGCCTTTCAAGGAAGACACCCCCAAAACAGCAGTAAAACTAAGCGCTCATTTCTGAATGTAGCCGCCTGCCTTTATCCAAAAAAAGGCCCGCAATTTGGGGCTTTTTGTGAAAGAAATACCCAGAACTGGAAACTATCAGTCGCAAATTAGGGATTTATATAAATATTTCTATGATGCCTCCTGATTATGCCATGTCCTATTGTAAAAACCCCGTGGGATCACAAGATATTAATGAGCTCGCGCGCAGAAATACAACCATTTGGTGACAAGGGGAATTGCTGCCTGCTTTTGACGGCGAGGCGGAATCCAACTGAGAACGTACAACCATGTCTCTGACAGAACGATCGCGCTTGAACGAGCAAATCGGGGATTCGGCGAAAATGGAAGCTGTGGCCGCATCATTTCCGCGTGCACGGAAATGTTTGAGAAGAATGTCACGTACCGGAATGTTTCGAGGGTGGTATGTGAGTGCGAGGGGGTCGCGATCACGTTGCTTGGCCCCCCCGGTGGGTTTCACAGCCGTTTGCGCGGGATTGAAGATTACGGTGTTGAAGGCAGCGTCTGTGATAACCGGAGGGTAACCGCGCTGATGAAAGAAACCTTCCCACGCACAGAGAACTCCGCGTCGCTACTACAAAACCTACGCAGTCCAAGCAACTGAGAGTATTAAAAGGGATGCAGTTCTTACACTTGAGGGGGTAAAACGATTGGTAGTGCATGTGCTGTGTGAATCTGTTGGTTTGTAATGCACGGCTGTGCCACTGTTTCCGCGCACAGATCTGGACGAGCACGTCGAGGAAGGTAAAAGTTTGTTGTGACATATCAGATGTGTAACGCAGTGCTGGGTGAAAAGCATCCACAAACGCTAAGAAATTCTCAACTTCATCACACGTACCGGTGATAGCACCAACTTTACTCGATATATCGCGGGTACATTAACGGCTGCACGCCAGTGATTCCGCTTCGCGGAACACTTGCGCAGCGTGCGCCAACAAACACCTGGTCTCACTGTTGCGCAGCACTTTTGCGCGCCGCCACATTCCTTCGGTGACGTATTAAGCGTCTGCATCCTGCGGAAAGCGTCATCTGATGTACAGCGTAAGGAACTGGAGCAGCGCGCCATTTTCGAACTTGGAACGCTGCATCCGGAGGGGGGGGGAGGAACGTGGTTTTTCCGCGTTCATTCAGAACTGAATCTGCTTGCCCTGAAGAAGGTACTTAGTTACCGAAAGCTCGGCAATCACATATTTCAGAGCACTGGTTTTATATTATATTCTTGTCGATATTCTGATCACGGTGCTACACAGCCCTTACATGTTTTTAAGATTGTATCCGTCCCGAGCTGAAGTACCCCCAGTAGGCGAAAGAAAGACAGGTGGTTACTTGTGGGTTCTCGCACGCGTTCTCCGCGACATGTACGCAAAGACCATACATGCCGGAATAAATTAGTTACGCGTACTCAGCGTGCTCCGCGTCAAATGCGCATATACTTGCGCGCCTAATGGCGCGCCTATGCTGTGAGTACTATACTAAAAAACACGCCCTCTTTTGTTCTGCTTGGACTGGGTAGATAGATCGATGGAAACGAAGTGAGTACGTCACACCCACAATTATGTGTGCATGTGAAAGGCATTAGCGCGAGAACTAGCACGTGAGCAAACCACTGACGAATATAACAAATCTGGACTTTCAACGCCTTGTGTGAAATAGAAGCCACACAGCGGCCATTTTACCGAGCCGACTACAAATGCGCGGGTTGGCTCGCTTGCCATTGTATCTATTGACGCCAGGGAGAACAAAGGGCGGACATTGCCGGGCAAGCTTTGTATTCGGCTCGGTAAAATGGCCACTAGTGGATTCAATGATCTCTATTTGCTGATTAAGGGCATTGTGAGGCAAGATTTTTTTATATACGTCCGTCGAGCAAACGTGCAGGTACTCCGTATACATCTGCACTGCACTTTCTGGTTCACTGTGACGTCATCAAAGGTTCATATTTACCAAAAATGTTTTCGTTCAAGTATATCAGAAATTACTTCTAACCCCACAAATAGTCTGACTATCACCCGCATACTCCACAGTGTGCTCATTTTCACATTCAACATTAATTAGCAGGGGCTAATGAAGGAACACGTCCCATGGAGTCATGGTTGCGGTAGCACTGGCAGTGCACCACTCCCGACTTGTCTTTGAACAGGGTTTCATGAATCTTTTACCTGATCGTTCTCGGTCGTACAACTGAACCAAAGGGCTTCGTGTGCATGGAATATATGCAAGGAATGTGAACTCTACAGTTTGTACCGAGGCCTATTTTGCGCGATATACATGTACATGTTCATAATGGAAATACATTGAATTGTCTGGTTCAAATACATCATTTTGTCGGTCTCCCACTTACCTCATGTCGCTGTTCCATTAAGACGAAAAGAACATATTCAAGTCATTTTTTCCCAAATCTAATTAACTCTTTTTGTTCTGACCAGCTCAAAATCTGAGGAATAAACTTTGTACTGTATGAAATAATCTTTTATCTAAAAACGGTACCCTCCCAAAAAGGTTCCCATTTATCTCCTCGCTAAATTTTAATAATAAGGAATCACACACTCTTGGTAATCGGAGGTAATGTCATCCCAAATTTGGCCAGATCAACGTAACAGAAACTCTCGAAATTCATGAGCAACATTTCCAAGGAGCAGAGATACGAATGGGGAATGGTGGTAAGTAATTCCTCTCGTAAACTCCGTTACAATTGTTAAACCCCACTTTACGCCACTGACACAATTTAAAGGACGTACAAAATGACTATACTTGTAAATAATATTTCCTAGTTGAATCATTTAAACGCTAATTATATTGTGTTATCGTAGCGTTAACATCTAGGCCTTGTTATTATCGAATCAATGGAATACCGTACAAAGAGAAGTCTGAATAAATAATACCATGATGGAGGAAGGAACATAATGCGTAAAAAACCATGATACTCGACTCACCATTAAACCATCATGCTTGTGCAAGTCTAATTTTTGATAACGAAATGCATACTGCCCTCGTGCGGCCCAGCATGTTATGCCCATCTTAGCTTTGCTCGGATCTTCACTAGAGAGAAGCGATCCACCGATGATCGGCATTGGAGAAGTAATTTACTTAAGTCTTAGCTAGCTGATGTAGTTGCAATTAATCACAGTGGTGACGTTTGTAAATTTAATCATGTGAACTCACGACATTAATGAACATGCATATGAAGGCCTACTTTTCATAACTTTACCCAGTTTAGTCTAGAAAATGGAAAGAGGGGACATCCCAATTTCCGGACAACCACTTTTCAATATTGTGAAGTAGGCCCAGGCTGTAATACCACAAAAATGTGGGGCTTTCCAAAGTAGCCTAGGCAATACTTGTGAAAAAGTCCTGCCTGTGGCACTGGCACTTGTGGCAGCAGCATTCGCACACTTGCATAGCATAGAGAGGGAGACCTTGGCCAACATGTGTACCATGTGTCACGTGTGTATATCATATGTACATTTCATTAACTTTTGAATACACCTTGGTAGAGGACTAGGCCTAGCCTATTCTCAAGTATAGGGTTGATGTGAAAAGAACGCAGGGTTGTAGGGAAATTAGGAGGGGGACAATGTGCGTGTTTTAACACGACATATGGTGGATTCAAATTTGTATGGTTGGTTTACAGTAAGAAAGTAACAATCACAATTTGGTCAGTGCAATGAAGAGAGCACTGCCGTTGGATTTTTGGGGAGGCTGACAAGTTTTAAAATAGCAAAAATCGAGGGCTGTCCCCAAATATTCCATCCCCCAAATAGTCAGCATAGTGTTAAATTCAAACATAAAATGTCTGGCAATGTTTGCACATTGTTGAAGATGTTGAATAGCACAGGTAGGCCTGACAATATTATGTCCAAATATTAAATAAAAGAGCTGATTTGTAGAGTTGTGCTACTGGGACTTTTTAATAGGGAAGTGATGGAAGTACATGTAGACCTAGGCCTATGGCCTCCATGCCCCCCTAGAACTGTTGGGTTCATTACCTGCCGCACTTAAGCTGCTGCACTCCCACATGGGAACATTGTGGACAACTAACCCCACGGATTTAGACGTAGGCCTATGGAAGGATGCAACTCTCTATGACATCCGTGATTTTTGTGATGGTTCATGGGGAAACATTAACAAACTGCTACATTACGACAAATCAACAATGCTTTCATCTCACTGTGACCTTGAGCTGCAAAAGTTGCCATGTGAACACAAACTTACTATACATGTATGACTGCTCATTTATTATGAAGACACAGGATATTGAGCAGTTGTTGGCTGAACTAAATGATATTTAGCCAGCTACAAGTAGACAGCACCCTCTTTGATGCTTATACAGGAGTGAGCCTTTAAAATTGTTAAATTATGACCGTCCCAAAAAAATAAGAATATTCTTATCTTCATTTTTAAATTGACTCTAACGTTTCATTACAGAGTATTACATTTTAATGAGTTTGTTGGCACAGAAACAAACTAAGATTTGTCCTGGTAAAAATGTTTAAGTCCTGAAAAAAGAGTTAACAGCTCATGTGTCTCGCTATATATCATGTATTTAAGTTAAGCACGCGCTAAATATCCACTGCCTATATAAATCGTTAGTGTGTAAATTTGACTGTCATCCTGTTGCACATATGGAAAGAGTTGTACTTGTAGACATTACATGACACCTGTGCACAATCCCTATGAGACTTGTCTGAAAAATTCAAACTGTTTTCTAAGTAAATACTTCATTATTTTCCCTACAAAAAAATTTAACATGTTCATGATTTCTGATGGCTGATATACCACTGTAGAGTAAAATTAGTGATCCATATTTAGAACACTTTTTTTTCTATATCCGGCATTGGAATGATACTGTAAATTTGCCTTCCATGAAGTGAGCGTAACCAGGTGGTTGAGACACGCAATGCTGTCCCCTGTCAGAACAAGAGGGTGTGGCTTTGATTTTATGGTCTGTTTTAAGATATTTTCTTTTAATTTCTTTCAAGCCAAAAAGTATCAAAATTGAGTAATTGTAGAATATCTTGCAATTCGAAAATAACCCCTAAACAGAATGTCTGGCTATGCAGTTGCGAAAGATGTCCATATGACTTTTGAGAATTCAGAAAGACTGAAAGTCTCACCTGAGTTCTCTGTAGGTGGCTACGTGGCTGTAACATGATGCTGGAGATATACGTTTAAAGTCCAAAGGTTAACATTACAGACTAATGTTACTCTGTATCCAGCTATGTGGCAGTAGGATCACTACTCATGCCGAAGAACTAAACAATACTCAATGAATGGGAGTTGTTGAGAGACAAACATACTCAGACTCCATACTTGCAAAGCTTGGTACAAGGTGGCATATTTGAGTGGTAGAGTATTCTGCAGTTGTGCCTCAAAAACATCTTTTCAATGTGGGCGAAACTCCAAGAGTTTGCAACACATTGGACAATTACGATGCGCGAAATCTGTTGACCCAATGCACGTTTAGAAAGGGTTGGCAGATTTCGTCTGGTGTGATTGGCCAATGCATTGCAAACTCTTGGAGGTATGCTATTGTAAATCGCCCGTATTCAGTGTGTTGAATTCTACAGCGTAGTGCACGATACTTCACTTTCTTTTTTGATTCTTGGCTTCATATAATTTTTTTTAGGCAAATGAAATTTGAAATAGTACCAGTTGGTCAGACCTCCTTCTCATAAATACAAACACACAGTGGCAATGTACATGTAAGCATGAAACCAGAGGAAGATTTTATCACAGTAAAATCTTTAGTCTCCCCCCCCCGAAACCCATATTGCACTTGTTCATTTACTATAGCGGTAAAAGGCAAAACATAGCAGGACCAGTTCATGATGGCTACAAGGTGGCATACATTAGTGGTATTCTGCAGTTGTGCCTCAAAGTCATCCTCTCATCCTTGTAAACTTTGTATTCTTATTCAGAGATTAAATTGCATGAACCCTAACCCCCTAGACTCTCCTCAGTCCTCCAGAATCCTCCAATTTGGGGGGTGAAAAAATGGGATTCTCCCTTAATCTCTGAAATTCTCCAAAATTTCTTGAAAATGTTACTTGGAGGTGCGCCTGCTGCCTCAATCCTTCAAAATCCTCTGGCAATTCCTGTCATGTTGAGGCAGTTCGAATGGCATTCTTGAGCAGTGCAGTTGATTCAAAAGAAATATTGGGCTGAATTTATGCATGACTGAGCAAGAACAACACAAGGTCTAACCCACGACCTTTACTCATGGCATGCTTCGCAATCAGCCATGCACTTTTGCCATTCACCCTCCATCTTCAAAAATCCTCCAAAACCACCCGAAGGATTTGGAGAATTGAGGAGGGTTAGGGTTAAACTTTGTGGCTGCCTATAAGTTGTGAGGTTTTGGGTTAATTTCTCAGTTATGACCATTCTTCATGTTTCCTGCTGCCTCCCAAATGAAAAGTTTTTATGACATGTAATATTTATATGTAACTCTAACCCAGTTTTGTAACGAGTCACACAATTTGGTGACTTGGGTTGAGTGGAGTTATTTTAATACTGTGACTCGAATCAAGTCATTAGGTCAAGAATTTGAGTTGTCAAGTAACTGTTTGCTCGAGTTGAGTCAAGTACTGAGTTTGAGTCCGTTTTTAACAAAATGCAATAAATGCGATCAATATAAGAGCAGCGCTGTGAGTCCGATTTTAAATAGTTTTTTGCCCCAAAAATTCAGCTTTGACAATTTTTTGAGAATTGAGTCTTATAGGCTTGTACGTCAGTCAAGTTTCTATGACAGACTCTAGTTGAGTCTTTTGGTCACAGAGACTTGAGTCATTTACCCGTTGGGACTCGTGTTGAGTCGCCAAAAATGTGACTCAAGTCGGATTCTGGCTTGAGTCATTACAACTCTGCCCTAACCCTCCAGGGTACTTGGGTAGAAACCCTGCCAGACACATCAAACTGCATGTCTGTTAAAGTTGCTTGTCTGACCAGTTAAGATCCAACAGGTCAACTCTTCCCAAGGCCAAACAGCGTGGGAGTCTGTGGTTGCCAGTCACCACAAGATGGAGGAATCTATATGTATTCTCTCAACATGGCCAATTTGTTTGGCTGCTGTTGATTGCCCAATGCATCAAAGTGCATCAGACCTTTTTACCTGATGCACTGTGGTGCATCTGACAGGGTTAGGGTTAAAGTATATTGTATATACATGTATTATGGCTTTGGAACTTCTTAGGGAAATAAAGTCAGAGGACCCAGTAACCTGTTACCTCTAGAGTGACAGGGCTTCCCTCAGAACTGCATGTAAATGTAGGGGTCAATCATAGTGCTGAGAGGTACATTAGTTCTAGGGGTACCGTAGTTCTAGCACATTGTTACTGCCTCACAAAATCAGGCACTAGTACTGGATACACGGCCTCAGCTGAAAATAATTGCTTCATTTTCTGATCATTCGTATGAATGGGACATTTTCCCCTAAGAGGCCATCCGAGTTTTTCATTTTAATTTTAGACTGCTTTTTAAGGACCACTAATCCCTCCAAACCTCAGCAAATTGGGTCTGAATAGATGTCTATCTATGTAAGCTACATGTGTAATTCTCATTTTTGAAAAGTGTAGGGTTTGTATGCTTGTGAAAAATCATGGTGACGAAAAATGGATGGCCTCAAGTAAGTAGATTGAATTCAGGTCCTTGCCTTATAGCTACATTGATGACATGTTTTGTATTTTGTATCTGCCTGTATGTTACATGTCAACTGGACAAAAATTTTGGACCTAGTAGGGTAGAGTTCAAGGTCATTATAGTTCGGACATTATAAAGGGTTTGTTCACCTGAAGTTATGACAGGCTTAGTAGAAAGCAACTTCGAACTTAATATGTGTGTGTTAGTTTTGGTTTCCTGTGAAGTCTTTTTAATTTGAAACCACAGGTCCAAGGTCAAGTATCTGCACAATTGAAAAATGTCAATTTATTTCCTGTTTTGTTTTTCAAAAAGAGGTAGACTCATCTGGGAGACATATTCTACAGAAATAACCTGTACTTTCCTAAAGCCTGCAGTTCACCATGACAGCCAAGAACACAACAGCCCTGCTGCAGAAGCTACGGAGTTTGATGAAAGCCAAGCAATACATAGGAGCAGAGCCCATCCAGGCTTACATCATACCATCCGGGGATGCTCATCAGGTATACATGTGGCATTAAGGTGTCACAGTATTAATAATGGCTTGTCTTATAAAATTGCTAAATGGTTTTTGAAAGAGGAGATACGTCTTGTTGGTTCTTTATCCTGCTCAGTTGAAACTCAATCGTGTGTGGCTTACTAATACAGGCTAGTGTTTGAACTTTGCATCTGTGAACTAGAGGTGCATCAGGACGTCATGCACATACATGTATAACTTCAGGAGTTTAGTGTCAGATTGGGTACTATACTTGGACTTAATTGACTGATTTGGTTACAGCACCCCTGCATGATGTGAACAGTGAACAGGACCTCAAAATGTTTCGTAAAGAACAAAGTCGTTGGGAATGGTTTTGTGACTTCTCAACAAATATTGCATTCAAATGGAATTATTTACATGTTTCAAGTGTATTTGTTTATATCGAAGCTGAATCTAATGTGGAGGTGTTGAAAAACAAACATTGACTGGTTATCTGGAAATGTAGTAAATTTAGCCTCCCACGATGATCTGTAGAATTCACCATGGATCACCCTATGAGGCCTAGTTAAATAACTACACTACTTCAAGCACTACTGAAATCTTTTTGCATGCTTACAGCTTGTATGGCTATTTTAGTCACAAAACAAATATGCTACAGTTACTGAGTATTTTATACCTTCATGTATTTACAAAACTATTAAATTTGTTGCAAGCTTTGGCTTTGTACTTGAACAACTCTGTGTTGTATTTTTTTCCTTAAGCAATTACAGAGATACTTGCATGAGATTTTTTTCTGCTATTGATGTTATGTCTACATGTAAGAGAAAAGGGAAATTGATATTGAACTGAATGATCATTGAGCCAGCACTTATATCAGGGGCTGTTTCTGCTCTGTCCATGATGGGTGTCTGCTGTTTGTTTCAGAGTGAGTACCTTGCAGCATGTGATTGCCGTCGCGCTTTCATATCAGGATTCACAGGCTCTTTTGGTAAGTTTATTTGGCCATTTGGTGAGTTTATAAATGATAACCATGATCACCTACCTGTATAGTCCAATTTTATTCTAAAGTTCAATTGTCAGGTTGATCTTTGGTACCTATTGTTTTTAATCAAGATATTACTGTTTTTCACAATGGCTGTCCTCTGGGCTTTTACACATCAAATACTTGAAATTTGGTATGAAATAAAAGGTGTGCAATCAAAATTAAAATTAGATCCCATCCAAACCTGACCTTGGATTGGGTTGAATGCAGTAAAAACTTGACTTTTTTGACTTGATGAAAATTCATGAATTCCTTTATCGTAAGTTATTATTAAATGTGGCAGTGATAGTTTTATCAAACATTTCCCAGCTTTTGCTCAACATTCTGCAGCCAAAACCCTCTCTCCGTAACATCATTCATTGTACTAATTTTAACCCTGCCATAGGATGTTTCTCAAGGCATTACATAATGCATCAACAAGTATTATTAGGCCAGGGGCTGTCCCACTCTTTATTTACTATCATATTATGATGACGTCATATGAATATTGCAAGTAAGTAGTTTGAAATTTTTTGTGAATTTATATGGAATGTTTACGAGTATTTCTGCCTATTCAAGAAGTCTAAGATTACACTTGAAAGGGACAATGTCACAATTTATCGTTATGGTATAATATCTAAAAATTGGAACCAATTAAAGATGATTGGCCTCAGGGTTAAGAGCATGGGATCTGTAGTTGGCGAGTAGAGCCGCAGGTTGCGGGTTCGAATCCAGCCTGGGGTCATAGTGCATGTGCCCTTGGGCAAGGCAATTGTTACTGATTGCTTCTTCCCATCCAGGAGTAATTGGGTACCTGTTAGGGCAGAGATGGTTCTTGTAGTTGATTTAGCTGCTTGTACTGAAATGACTGTATCGTGCTATATACTCCCCAGGGAGCTGAGATGATATTTGGAATGTGTTGTGGGCCCAATGAGTGGTGGTGATAATAACAGAAAGCACTTTGGTCTTAGTTAACAGTGCTATAAAGCACATTATGATTTGATGACACACAAATAAGAGCTCTCATCCTTATCTGTGTGAACAATGTGAGTCAAGCTGTGTCCTGCAGCCTCAGACCTTGAGTGTCATTTATAGAATGCTAGCAGCACCAAAGAGAGCCACCTTCTGCAACAATTCCACCATCACAGTTGAGCTGATCACATCGAGGTGTTTCTCCAGGGACCTGAGAATGGTACCCAGTGCTCTTGCAACAACTGGGATGACCTTCAGTTGACTTTCTACAACTTAAGAAGTTCCCTCACCAAATCCTGGTTCTTTAGGACCTCCTTCTAGCTTGTAACCCTTGTATCACCAGCACAGCCACATCTATAATGTGGCACAACTCTGCTCCCTTATCTAGAACATCCAGCCACCTGGGTTCTACAGCATGGTCAATCTGGTTGTTGAAGTTCCAGAGAACCTTTTCCTCCTCTGTTTCAAGAACCTTCTACAGAACATGTTCCCACCGCTTGTCCTTGATCCCTCGTTTCCAACTCACATCCCAGTGGATCACTCTGGCTAACTTATCATGCCTCCCCTTGCATTCTTTGTGGGCCATCTTGCTGTATTTTACAAACCAAATCAAATAAAGTTTCCTCTTTGTCCCATAAATCCTGCGCATTGGAGATATGTTGGCACCCCCTGTCCTCACCTTCATCGTGTTCGTCCGCAGTGCCTGATCCTGTCCAGCAGTTATCAGACCATCCATCTCCTTCAAGTCACCTTTCTTCGACCGTACCTTTCTTACTCCCTGCCACCTCTTCCATGCCCCTCATAAATTTCCCGTGGAGTGGCTTCCCTTCCCAAATTCTAAGCTTTTCCTCCTTCCTTGCCCTCCTATACTTAGCAGCGTCACCTTCCTTTCCCACGGTGTATTTCTTAGCCATCCTCAGCAATCCATCCTGCGCCCAAGAGACCTTTTTTCTGAATGCTTACACAGTCTGTCATGCTCATCATTCCCCCCTCCCTCCTTTGGTCCTTGGCAAGTACAGCCTCCTAAACTTAGCCCTTGGATGCAGCATATTATGCATGGTCATCAGTTTCCTGTCATTGGGTCAACAGACTCCACCTCCCCCTTGGTCTAGTCAACAATCCCAGCACTGCACTGTGTCTCATTCGCAACACAGCGATGGCTGTTCAAGTAGCTTGAAAATAAATAACATGGAAACAAATGTAGTTTTTATGACCAAACTAATTGAAATTGAAAGAGAGATGACAAGTTGATCCTCTGTTGTATTTATACAATGAATGGCTTGATACTACCACAGGGTGATTATCTCGATTAATTGATTAATCATGATTAGTTCCTCCTAATCGTTTCACTTCTCGTGGATTCCCAGCACGATTACATGTAGTAACTGTAGAATTATATGGGAGTAGTGATTGTTACGGAGTACCAAGTTACACACACAACCACGCTGTACATGATATGATCCAGGGCACACCTGCTTTATTTTGGCAGTCTCCACTGACAGGCTAGTGGTCGACTGGGTTGGCGGCAGTTCAGTTCAACAAACTTTAGCCTTTCCTACTGTTAACCTTTAATAGTCCAAAAATGTAGCAAGAGTTGCCAACTGCATGTATCCAAGGCTTCTGTGTCATGTTGAAAGGAAGTAAACTGCCCGTAGTTCATGGGTTCATAAATTCATTCCAAACAATCTGGATGTTTCAAATTACACACAGATCTATTTTTTGATGCTAGTTATTTTGTGTCTTGGAGTTTTGAACTTTGTGAGTGAAACAAGTAAATGTAGAACAGCCTTGCTGCCCCATCCACAAAACTTTGGAAGTTTCTCTGTTTCATAATTTTTTCCACACTTGGTGAAGGGTTTGTAGAATAATTAGCTTGGTGGGTCTGATGAGTAATGCCTGAACTGTCATACTTCATGCTCAATGAATGAAACAATTTTTCTTCATGTGAAATTCTGATTTCCAGTATTTTTTACCTTATTTTGTATAATTCAGAATAATTGCTTCATTCTATCCCCCGTAATGCGATTGAACTCAAAAACTTTACACAAATGAGAATTTCTCTTGGTAATGGTCGAATGTGATCACTTACTGCACTGGCAGACCTCAAAAGTTCAGACAGAATGCCCTTTGAGACAGATAGGAACCGAAACCCAACCCCGTGGCCGCACTGTGCAGCCCCAATCTTAGAAAGTGTGCCAGATACCCGCCCAGTTTAGCAGTGCCAAAATGCCGTCCGGGAGACTGTGGCTGCAATCATAGGCCAGTAATTCATCCATCGGTTTGTGATGAATTATTCATATTGCCTCACATGCTCAAACAATGAATGAAGTCTGAACAAGAATGTCTGTGGGCTATACCATTGAGAAGTTTAGGTAGGTTATTTAGAACTTCAAAGTGTGAGAATATGGAATAAAAGTAACTGAGTAATCAGAATTTTTCCCAGGTTTAAAGGCAAGAACTATTCAAACAGTTTCAGACAAGCTAGCAGCTTTTTTACTTTGAAACTGTAGAAATCTGCAATCTGTATTAGAGCCTCCACAACAAAGATTTATTAAAATTGTCCTATACACGTTCAGAATGGAATCGGCGGCCAGGCATCCTTTTTTTGGCAGACGATGTAGTTTTCCAATACTTGACTGCAGCTCGGCTGCAGGCCTCGAATGTTTTTTTTTTACCTGACTTTGAAGTTGTTGACGCATAGTAAGTCTGACAGTGCCACAAAATATCAAGTTAGATGCAAAAGAGCCAAACATTACCGTACTTCAAATTAATTAAAATGCTTCAGGCCTACAATTAGGGATTGGTTTTATAGATGAAGCCTCAGACAGAGACGAAGTTGAAAAATGGCCCTCAGTCACATGTAGTCGTTGTATGTACTCGGATCCAACTGGAGCTCAAGCCGTAACTATTCCAGTATAACCCGTATGTAATTGTGATAATTTTATAGCAGCTACGGAGAATTCTGTCACTGGCTTTCCAGATTTCAGAATTAATGAAATAACATAAAAGCAGAAAACACAGAAAACAAACTTGCCCTGGCAATTTCTGCAATGAAACTGATGAAAGCACCATATTCACGTGTTGACACCATGTCTCAGAATTTTTGCCACTACTCGTGATTAATCCATTAATTGCGATTAGTTTGTGTATGATTAATCGATTAGCAAAATTCACTAATCGCCCAGCGGTACTTGATACTACCAATACTTCAAAGGAGAACTCTAGCAAGGTGCGAAAGGAAGCCATTTGTTCGAATTTGAGAACAATTGCCTCAGAAATATGTACATTGTGACACTCTGTGGACAATATCAAGTTTACTTGGTGAAGCTTAAAAAATGTGTAGTGCTTTCATCAGAGAGGAAGTTATCATTCAACATATATGAAGAGTAAAAAGTTTCCCCATTCCAACTCCATCATTCAAGCCCTTTGCTTAAAAAGATTGACTTTCTGATGTTAGCTGTTGAAATGCTACAATGCCATCGAAGTGGACACTCTACTTTGTAAATAAGATGTGTTTAAACCACATATCCACAATGGGAAAGATTGAACTAATGGACCATGGGGTACATCACTCATGCACCATGGCATGGCAAATCACATGATCAATGCCCGACCAATTAAATTTCTTAATCTATTATGTCCTGGCCTACACGTTAGAAAGTGTTTCAACTGTTTCAGATAGGTAGTCAGTTCATATTATGATGTCTCTGTGAGCTGGTCTTCTGTGCTGTAATGTTTTTGTTGAAAACAACTTTGATGAAGATCCCAGTTTTAAAAGTACCCAAAGAGGAAACTGTGCTCAAAGTCTTCAGGAATTAAGGATTGAATAATTAAAACAATAGAATAATATAAAAACAATAGAACAATAAACCCTAAACTAAACAAACAGTGCTATGGCTAGGTCTATTGTCTGCATGACTCCATGTATTTCCAGTGGAGTGAAGACATAGACCTGCTTATAGCTAACCGATTTGGATGCAGCCAAATACACACTTAAATAGCAATAGAAACTATTGGTGATCAAAAATCAGCCTGATTAAACAAAGACACCTGATTGATGATATCAATGGAAGTATGTGTGATGTCACAATTTGTAGAACAAGAAATGTTTTCTATGTTTTGAGTCAAGCTGACTTTTTCATCTCTTAACTCCTTCGCGCCGGGACGTGGCTAGAAACGCCTTAAAAATTGAGATCCTCAGCCCGCTTTTCAGCTATTATTCTCGGCCCAAGCTGGACCGAACACAGTGAAAGAAGGCAGACCCTGGCACTTGTGTATATGGTAATTGACCTTTGTTTGTAGCCCAGAAATGAAAAGACCGAATTCGCATCATAATTACCAGCTTCACAACAGTCCCCACTTTGAAAAGAGGCAACGGGAATGTGGAAGCTTGAGTAGAGCCGCATGCCACCGAACAATCAGCCTTTTCACCGTGTAATTCAAAGTGTGCAGAGCACGCAGGGCCACAAACCGAGAATTGCGGTTTGGCAGGTGGCCTTCGTGGCCAAGTGAGGCTGGAATTCTTGGAGTTGGCTTTCGGGAAGAAATTCCCAGCGCGAAGGGGTTAAAAAGTTCACAACTTCATTATAACTCATTTATGTCCAAATGTTCAATAACAAATGCAAAGCTGTATTTATTTTTTCTAGTACTTACACCGCAATCACAATTGCTGAGCATAATACAAGCTCTCAGCAGCAAAAGACATCTTACATACCTGCACAATTGAATCATGGTAACCACAATGAAAAGCTTCAAATTCCAGTTTGGTTTGATTTTAGCTTTATTTCAAAGAAATAATTGCTGATTCATGGGGATGATATTGTTTCATATGAACAGGGACGGCCATAGTGACCAATGACATTGCTGCTCTGTGGACAGATGGCAGGTACTTTCTACAAGCAGCACAGCAAATGGACTCCAATTGGACCCTAATGAAGCATGGTATGTGGATTAAACAAAGAAAAGCTTGATTTTGTCTCTCATCTCTCGAACACTTTAATACTTTGAATGTAGTGAGCATTTGGCTTGGAATTTCACTTGTTACAATTAGGCATGCACAGGTAGCAAGCAAAAAATCTTGGCAGCCAAACTCGGAACTTTGCAGAGCATAGAAAGATTTTACAGATTTGGTGGGACAGTATAAAATGAAGGCTTTGTAGTACAATTGCATGTCGTTTTAATCTGTTCCAGATGGTATCAGTTTAAGAATAGCACCGTTTTTGTACATGAGAACATGATTTTCTCCAGGATCTATAGTTAAATTACTGCTGCAGATTTTGACATTGACTCACTTTGTTGAATGTATAAAGCTCTGCAAACAAAAATGCCTGAATTGGACACTGTCTGAGTTTTTTCCTGAATTTCTTATATGGTGGAATGATTCCCTTCCAAGCTTTTATTGAATTATTTTCTTCGATTTTTGGCTTGCTGCAGACTTGCTAAGGGAATTGTAAGATGTTCTAAGAAAAGGATATGCTTACCAACAAGACTGTATGATTGTTTTCTATAAATTCAATTTTACAGGTTTAAAGACAACACCTACCCAAGAGGATTGGTTGGTTAAGGTAATTAGAGATTACTGAGAGTGCTGTCTAGCAAACCAGCGGGCTGATGGTTGGCCGTGTTTGGTGGACTAGCTTTCTTTGCGATGGCAGGCTCTGGTTGATAATTCTTTAAAAATGGAATTAGGACAGCACAAGTTGCCTTAGTGAACAATAATTTAAATGTTTTCAACGAGATGATGATGTACAAGTCTGAAAGTATATTAACTTGCATGCATCCATTCTCATTATGTACTTTCTGTTACCACTTAATGACCTGCTTTCAAGAACCAGTTAACTTTCAAGAGAAACCTGTAAACAGTGGTGGCTTTGATCATTTTGGTCCTTCCTTCACATTTATCAGCCAATACAAATCCAGATACAATATTCTAGAGGCTTCATTTAAGTTGTACTTATTTATTTATATCTAATCATCCAACAGCACATTTAGCGCTAGTTACAGGATGATAATGAGTGACGAAGACGATAAAGAAGTGTTTAGTTTTAGAGATGGGAGGAAAACCCAGGATAAATGCTTCGGGGAAAATCCCCAGACTCGGGTAGGAACTGAAACCCAATCCACATGTGGACTGAGGCGGATTCGAACCCAGGCCTCTAGAGGTGGAAGGCGACGAAAGAAAGTACACCAACCCGACTCCCCTACTTGAATTTATTATGCTATTTTTCTTTGTGTTACAGAATTTACCCAAAGGTGCTCGGGTTGGTGTTGACCCATTCCTGTTTGCACACGGTAAGATGAATATATTAGGCTAGAATAGGTTGGGAGAAGAGAGCAGACATGTTAGGATTAACCACATTCTGCCGGGTGGTTTGAAAAATGCAGTGCACATAATTGGGACTTTTTCAAGATTTTCAGTTTTCAAATTTCTTCAAAAATTCATCATTTCAATTAATGGACGTTTACACCCACATGAATTACTGTCTGGTGGCCACTCTAGTTTGACAGACAAAAATCTATCGACGCCCGAGTATTTCAGCAAGGCAAGCTGCCTTGTAAAAAGAGCCCAGATTGTGCGGTGTTATGTAACTTTCTTTTGTTCATGAACCTGGCACTGTGCTGTTGACCTCTTTTCAACAGGGGCCAGATTATTGTGCAGCGTTGCTGTGTGGCTCATCGCTGCGGTGGTGGAGCACTTTTGTCCCCAGTAGTAATCCACTTGCATTAAATGCCCCAAACTGTGGTATACTGTTTCAAAACAAGGCTGGATTTTCTCCACTATGGAGAGTGAAAAAATGTCGGTAATGCCCAGCAGCCTGGTCATTTGTTCCAAGAACGGTCTTTTGTTACAAGGCCAGTTCCCTTTTGTCCAATTTTGGAGACCCCGGCCACACGTATAAACACACGGTGCTCGAAACTGGGTCCCCCGGCAGGAAGTGGTTAATATGCTCATGAAAGCTTCATTGAACTCTGGATACCTGACTAATTGCATTCAGCTTTCTTTTACATATGCAGCAAGGTATGAGACGGAGAGAACCCCCCCTGCTTTGTGTTGGTCATTGTCTCGCAGGAATCTGGGGAATTCCTTTCAGACATCTTGGGGGGATGTGTTAAGGAACAATAATGTTGGGGGGTACCCCTTCGTCTCATTTCTTGCTGGGTATATGCTTTTACACTTTTTGTCCACTCACAGTGCTGGAATTCTAATGTTAAGAAACAGACTTAACATAAAAATGGATAAATGTGCTAAAGTCGGTGTATAAGGTATATAGCATACTCACAGTAAGTAAATGAATTTGGCATACAAGTAGCTTTGCTGTTTGAACAAGAGCCACCAATGTTTTTGTGACATTTGCTTGAATATTGATTTTATTGATTGTGACATCGATTTTGAAAATGCTGTGGACTTAACAAATGTACCCGTATTTTGTCAGAATCAGGTAGCAAATTGCAAATTTGAATGCTAGAAGTAATGCATTGATGTTTTGGCATGGGCCTCGATGCTTGAGTTGTGCAATGATGGGCTTTAAAACCAAAATGATACAGCGTGTACATAAAGTTACCTGTTTATTATTTGGCCAAAACTTGTGGCATCCACTGTGAGTGCCGTAATTTATTGTACAACTCATGGACTTACTATGTAACTTTTGGGAAATTCGTCATGGCATTTTGTTTGACCTGTTCAATAAAATGTGGAAAGGTAGTGTTAAGCTGTTTTTGTGAAATACAGTCAGCAGCCTGAGTGGTACTTGATAATCTTACCTGCTTCAGATCAGTGGAAGAAGTTCTCTGTTACACTCAGCCAAGAGGGTTTATCCCTGGTACCCACTGTAGTCAACTTGGTGGATCTGGTGTGGGGGGATGAGAGACCATCCCCACCATTTGACCAAGTGACAGTCCTAGAAACCAAGTATGCTGGTAAGACAAGATTCCACATTAGTTAGATGTGGCCATTTGCTCACAATTCATTTGTTTCTTGTTGTTGAAACTGGAATTCAGCTTGTGTCATGCCCCTGCCGTAACCTTGTTCCTGTAGGTATGACCTTGCTGCACCATGTTGGTTCCCACCATGTCTTTAGCGATCTAGTGCCCTATTTTTTAAAATTAAATTTTGAAATAATAAATAAATATAGTCAGTGTGTTTTACATGCAGTGCAGTGTTTTCATCCACTGAAGGTTTTGTTTGTAGAATTCATCCTTTATGATGTGTATATCTCAGTTGTCCCATTTGTAACACAAGTTCTGGGTATTCGTGGCAAAAATTGAGGCCTTAAGATATGCCAGGCATTTAACTCTTTGAAATATGCATACATGACAGTATGGCAAGAGTCATCACTTCAGTGCATGGTTTTTGTTTTGTTCGTTTTTTGTTTTATTGAGAAGGAGGTTTCTTTTCCCCGTGAGATATCAGGTCTTACTGTGATTCAAGCATTTGACCTTGTTCTAGTGGTTTGTTAACGTTCTGTTTGATTTTATATGGCATTGGTTTTACTGCTGGTCAGCTTTTTCCATTGAAGTTGAGCTAACCATCATTTTTTGTGTATACATAGTAGATGTAACTCTGCGTATTACTGTTTCTAAATGTGATAGGTGTTACTTGGCCAGAGAAAATAAAAAGGATGCAAGAAGCAATGACCACCAAGGATGCCCAGTACCTAGTCCTGACTGCTCTGGATGAAATTGCCTGTAGGTTCATTTCTGTCACAAGATTGCTTTCATGGGATACCTGCATGCGTATAATACCTGTACATGCAGAGAATGAAAATTTCCATTTTTTAGTGCCATTCTCCTGCCTTTGCCCGCACAAATTTGCTTCATGCTGTTACTGAAACTACTGTACAGTAGAATTTGTCCAGAGTTGAAATCTCATGAATCTGTGGGTGTTTGCCTCATTATTCAGCGTACTCTTCAGCCCTCATATTCTCAAGATCTAACCTGG